GTCCCAGCTACTTGGGAGGCTGAGGCAGGAGACTGGCTTGAGCCCAGGAGTTGGAGGTTGCTGTGAGCATGATGCCATGGCACTCTACCCAGGGGGATAGCTTGAGGCTCCGTCTCAAAAAAATATATATATATATATTATTTATGAGCTCTTTATATACTAAGGACATATAGAAGTTTCATAGTGAATTTTTTAGCAAATGGTCATTTTAAACTACTTCTATTTTTTTGTAGGGCATAGCCTCATGACCTAATTTTTTTTTTTTTTTTTTTAAGAGACAGAGTCTCACTTTATCGCCCTCAGTAGAGCGATGTGACATCACAGCTCACAGCAACCTCCAGCTCTTGGGCTTAGGTGATTCTCTTGCCTCAGCCTCCCAAGTAACTGGGACTACAGGCACCCACCACAATGCCCAGCTATTTTTTTTTGTTGCAGTTTGGCCGGGAGCCAGGTTCAAACTCCCCACCCTTGGTATATGGGGCTGGCACCCTACTCACTGAGCCACAGGCACTGCCCATGACCTACGTTTTTTAACATTTTTTAGATTCAGATCTCTCTTTCTCTCTCTCCCTTTTTTTTTTTAAACGAGACAGAGTTTCAGTATGTCACTCTGAGTAGAGTGCTGTGGCATCACAACTCATAGCAACCTCAAACTCTTGGGCTTAAACTGTTCTCTTGCCTTAGCTTCCCAAGTAGCTGGGACTACAGATGCCCGCTACAATGCCCGGCTATTTTTTTGTTGTTGTAGTTGTCATTGTTGTTTGGCAAGCCTGGGCTGGGTTCAAACCCACCATCCCTGGTATGTGTGGCTGGCACCCTAGCTGCTGAGCTAAAGGCACTGAGCCTAGATTCAGATCTCTTAAATCATTCAGCCTTTGGCACCATACTTAAGTCTTTTTCCCTACTCCGAGACATAAATATCTCACCTCTATGTTCCCATAGTAATTTTTTAAAGAGATAATTATTGAATTAAGTTGGAACCTATAAAATGTCCAGCAGCCCCTCACAGAGTACTTCATTAAAATTAGTCAAGCAGGTTCGGTGCCTGTAGCACGGTGGGTTCAAGCCTGGCTCTGGCCAGCTAAACAACAATGACAACTGCAACAACAATAAAAAAATAACCGGGTGTTGTGGCAGGCGCCTGTGGTCCCAGCTACTTGGGAAGCTGAGGCAAGAGAATTGCTTAAGCCCAAGAGTTGGAGGTTGCTGTGAGCTGTGATACCACGATACTCTACCAAGGGTGACATAATGAAACTCTGCCTCAAAAAAAAAAAAATCAGTCAAACAGGAAGTACCTAGAACTTAAGTTTGAAACAATAGTGCCCTGCTGGGATATGTTAAGCATTCATTCTTTCCTGTACAACATACAAGAACCTACACAGAATAGATGTGCCCAAGTCTTGCTTATAATTTCATCAAGCACTTTGTAATTCTTATCATTCATACATTTTTTTCCCTATATATACAGAAAACTAGAGCTGTCAAAGACTCGTGTGTGTGTTAAAATATATGAGGGCTTCCAGAAAGTATTCAGCTATGTATTATGAAAAAGCCATGCATGGCTCAATACTTTTTGGACAACTATCATATAGGACTGTGCAGTGGCTCACACCTGTAATCTCAGCTACTTGGGAGGCTGAGGCAAGAGAATTGCTTAAGCCCAGGAGTCTGAGGTTGTGGTGAGCTATGAGAACAACAAAGTGAAACTCTGTCTCAGGAAAAAAAAAAAAATTAGGCAGGTATAGTGGCATGTGCCTTTTGTCCCAGCTACTCAGGAGGCTGAGGCAACTTGAGCCTGGGAGTTTGAGGGTGACTTCAGCCTGGGAGTTTGAGGGTGCAGTGAATTATGACAATGCCTGGGCTTGGGCCCTGTAGCTCAAGCAGCCAAGGCACTAGCCACGTACACTAGAGCTGGTGGTTCGAATCCAGCCTGGACCTGCCAAACAACAATGACAAGAACTGCAAAGAAAAAAAAAAGAGAGAGAAATAAAAATCAAAAACTAAAATAAAAGATGTGTAATATAAGACTTACCATTTTGGCTCGGCTCCTATAGCTCAACCGGCTAGGGTGCCAGCCATGTACACCTAAGGTGGCGGGTTCAAATCCACAGCCCGGACCCGCCAAACAACAATGACGGCTGCAACCAAAAAATAGCCAGGCGTTG